AGCGACTTGACAAGAGGAATACGACATCTGAAGCCCATGTCCAGGATCCGTCTGTGTGTGGTGACTCTTGATGCACTGGCTCCAGCCTCAGTCCACTCCTTGTGAAAGTCCCCAACACATTTTAATGGTCTTTTCCTGACAATCCTCTCCAGGCTGTGGCCATCCCTGCTGCTTGTGCAACTTTTTCTTCCAAACTTTTCCCTTCCACATAACTTTCGATTAATGTGCTTTTATACAGCACTTTAGGAACATTAAGCTTCCTTTTCAATTACCTTTTGAGGCTTTCCCTCCTGATGGAGGGTGTCAATGATGGTTTTCTGCACAACTGTCATGTCAGCAGTCTTCCCCATGATTGTGATTCCTACTGAACCAGACTGAGAGACAATGTAAAGGCTCAGAAACCCTTTGCAGGTGTTATGGCTTACTTAGCTGATTAGAGTGGGACACTGAGCCTAGAATATTGCACCTTTTCACAATATTCTAATTTACTGAGATTGTGTACACCAACTCAATGATGCAACAGGGGTAGGCAACCATTAGCACTCCAGATGTCGTGTATTGCATTATCCATAATGCTCATACAGGCGAAATGCTGGCAATGGACCAGGCTAGATGTAGTCTAGAACATCTTGAGTGTTGAAGGTTGCCTACCCCTATTTTACAACATCATAAAGATGATATCCCCTTACAAGTTTATTCACTTAAGTAAGAAGTCAAAGTAAATTCAAACTAAATTTCAAGCTTAAGGTCAAAGAAGCCAAAGTGGAAACATCTCTAAGACAGCTATGCTTTCAGTTCAGTTACTCTGGCCTTAAATTTGAAGATCTCTTGGAATTCATGCTTTAGTAAATAGCCTGGATTGTCACTGTTCACCTTAAAGAATTCTTAACTATGGGTGGGTAGGTTTATTGGGTTTTAAGTAACTGTTGGTATTTATTTTACTTTTGCTTAGTAATCAGATTAGTGAATATTTAATAGGAATGTATAAATAATGGACTGTGCACCTGCTAGTTTTAGGGATTACATAGTGTTGCTGCATGATGAAACTGGGCATTACATGGTAAATCTTATTTTGGTGGGGACACTTATTGCGTCCATTTTACTGGGTCCAATATTAAGGCATTTACTCTTTTAAAAGCCATGAGATGAAAGCAGGAGGTTTCATGACTGGGTTATATTTTCATTACATTGGAGCATGAAGAGTATTGGAGTGAATTTTATGGTAATCAATTGACACTTATGCACCATAATCACTTGATTTGAATTAATCAAAATGTTTACTGTACAGAAGTCCATGGACTTGCATCACTTTTAAACAGCTTCCTCTGTTTTATAGAGACTATTGGTACTTAGCAGTCTGAATTTTAGCTTCCAATGATGATAATGTGGAGTTGGAGCTATGTTTGTGCTTCATGCCATACCAATTTATACTACGAATTAGAATTAAATAGTTTCTTTACTTTCTTTACATTTGATGAGTTAGAAATTATTAGATGGGATGTTAAAAAAAGCATTTCAATCTTAAAATATTAAATAATTCTTTAGATGGTAATTTAAATTCAGACACTAGTTGAGGAAAAGTCTTTATTGCTCCATCTAGTTGGGAAATTGTGTTAATGCCTATTTGTATCCACTCTTTTTCAAATTCCAATCAGAAATTGGTTGCTCAATTAATGTCAGGTCAAGATGGATTGGAATTTTTTTAATTAATTTTAAGAGCTATTGAGATTTTGTTCCCAATTCTTCAACAACTGTTATTTTTGAGTTGGGGTGTATTATTTTCTTTGTATATGTTGTGTCCCATATCAAACTATTTATAACATACCTGCTTTTGCTTCTTTTGGCTCTTATACCATCCCTCATAACTATTTTTAACATCCCCTGCTTTTGCTTCTTTTGGATCTTATACCATCCCTCATTAGTATTGTTGGTTAACTGAATTCTGTATATTGTAATGGCTTACCTTGGTTGGGAGTCTGTAGCGCAGATATATGCTCACCCTTGCAATTAAACACAGGCCAAGGTGGTCAGGTAAGAACTCAGCTGGCCTGTGAGTTTGTGCACGGGGGCTGTGCAGGTTAATGCTCCAAGTCGCAGTACAGATAGGACATAAACAGGAGAATAGTCGTGGATAAGCCAGAAATCAGAGGATGCCAGAAATCAGGATACACGAAATAACAAGCCAAGGTCAGGAATCAACAGGAGAACACTGGAACATGAAACAGCAATACGAGAACCAGAGTCAATGAACTGACACTGCCCTCAGGGAGAGGCAGTGTCTTATACCTGGCTAATCAGTGATCAGCCACAGGTGAACCATGAGTGACAGGAGCAGTTTCAGGTAAATTTCAATCCCCAGTGCTGGATACAAGGAAAGATCCAAACTTCAGGCCATTACAGAGGAGAAACACCAGGCCCAGGACCGCAAAGTACCCAGGTTCAAATCTCTTATTGGGCACTTATTGGGCGACGCAGTCTGGATGTCACGGTGAGAAACGTGACATATATATGTAATAATGTAGAGGCCAAATAGTTGTTCTTTATGATAGGATAGCCAATACCTCCCTTCTTTGTCTTTTGATCTAGAATTTTTTGGCTTAATCTTACTTTTTTGCCTTTCCATATTTATTGCGTAAAACTATGTTGGATCATGTCAAGCCAACTATAGAAAATGTCAAATGGCAGCATCTGAAACATATAATTCCACTTTGGAATCACATATGTGTTCACCACATTAATCCTTCCCCAAAAGGTAATCTCCAAGTTTTTACGTTCTTTCAACCATCTTGTAAGAAATTATGACCCTCTTACAAGGATATTCTTTTAGGGAATGTGTGACAAATAAGACATAAACACAAGTGTATAATAAAATGTATTGTAAATATTCATTTAAGGATACTGTTAGATTTTAAAAGGATATACACAATATACATTATACATTATATCCGGTACATAATCAAAAGCTACATAATAAAAAGGCAATACTTAAACATTTAAATGCAGGTCTTCCCCTTGCGCCTTCATCTTGGGTAATCTGGGACAGCCTCTCTTAGTTCACCATGGCCCTGCTTGCTGCGTTGTCCTCTCCAAAGAGAGAGAGAAAGAGAGAGAGCCTTCCTTGGTTGTTGTCCTTTTAAAGACTGATTCTTGGAGTAATAAACTACAAGTCCCAGAATCCCTTTTCCCTCCCAAAAGTGGTTTATCCCGCCCTCTTTCTCCAGATAGTTCTGTCTTTACACAAGTCTTTCCCTTTGATCTCTTCCCTCCAGCTATACTGTAATGTTCTGAAAGACCAGTTGATTAAGTTTCTTGGTAGATTGGACTGCTTGGGAAAACACACACTTGCATGGTTACACCTAGATGTCTATTACTCTGATCTCCTGATAACATGCAAGGAATACTGGAGGGATGTAAGCTTTTGTTTTAGCTGGGTGTTGTAAAATGCAACTGAAAGCTTTGATCCTTATCACACTGTTATCAAGTAAATGACCCTCTTGTGAAACCAGTCACATACACAGAAAGTTATATACAATATTTCAGTTTGGAATATCAATTTCTTACAGTCCCCACCTAGAGGGCGAATGACTCAACAAGGAAATGAGCCCTCTCAAAGAAATACAGTATTTGTATTATGTGTGTTTTAAATGATTGTGTTTTACTGAGACACAAATGACTTGACAACCACATATATTTATAATTTAGGGTACTGCAATGCATAATTTAGCCAAATTATTGAGGCACTTACAGTTATCATTTTTCACCATTAATTTGAACTCCTCCAGCCATATCCGCAACCTTTCATTACCCTCATAGGCTCAGCATCACTGCAACCATTAGATTTCACTCCCATCACGCTCAGTTACCTGTGCCACCAGCACTGCTTCCACCACACTGTTCCTTTAACCCTGGCCTTGCTTACTTTGGGCTATTAGGCCTCTGACCTCTGCCCACCATAACACCTGGTGTATTTTCACACCAACAGCAGTTAATTTGCTGTTCACTTACATAGTGTATTAAAGAGACCACACAAGGGAGAAACATAGTTTATTGTTTGGAGTGGGGATCCGAGTGAAGGTGTCTGTGCATGTTTATTGGGAGTTTATTAAAAGTTGTATAGGTGGAGTGGGTTTGTGTTTGAGCCCTTGAGGATGTTTAATAAGTTTTCGATAGGCCCTTGGCTTCCGGAAATTAAAAGATTCTTAGCACAGAAAGTGCGCATTGTTACATTATGCAAATCACTAGTGGTTTGATCAGTCTTGTCTCAGTGTTACCATCTGGATTCACAAGTGGTCATCTAAAACATTGTAAACACAAATGTGAGCAAAATGCAACCAATATTAATGTGTACTAAGGGATACGTCCTCATAACAGTATGAAATAATTTACTATAACTTTACTAAAACCATAAATATTTAACCCCTTGTGGAAAACCAAATAGAGCAAATAGAAAATGCAAAATCATATATTGTCGCTCACCCCACCTTGACTCAAAAACAATTTAAAATATACAAAATGGTCTAATTTGTCTATATGCTATACCCCACCTTGAGAGTATAAATTAAAACAAAAACAAACAAAAAATAACCATTATCATTCTATTGTTCACCCAACCTTGACCCAAGGAAATGTAAAATATATGCAATTATCTGTTTTCCCTATATTCCCTTTAGAGTGTGAAATACAATAAAAAGCATAAGAAAACAACAAAATCAAAGAAGATGGAGAGAGAAAAAAGTAGATTGAATGCTACCATTACCTTCAGTCACTGAACTGTATACAAAGTTTGGCAGCGTGCAATCTAAAGAAAACTGACAATGGTCTGTTGCCTTTCAAAGATTAAAATCAAAAATCAGCTTGAGGCTATTTGTGTTGGTAACCAAATGAAAAAAAGACAAAAACAAAAATATTTACTGTTGTAAACCAACAGACAGTTACACTATCACATCTCTCCAGTGTGATCAACGTATAAGCCTCACCTTGGCAACAATTCATCTAATCTAGAAATATATAAAATTAGTAATCCAGTATCAAAATACAAAAATAAAACATAGCTGGAAGTGCAGGTGTGCTAAACTAATAAAAACAAAAATAATTTGGAATTTGGACCACCTGACTGTAATGAATGAGTTTAGAGGCTTATCCTTAATATGAAATACAATATCATAAAACTACATATTAAGGTCCTCTATAAACTGGAACTGTATTTTTCCTGAAATAAATAAACATGTTAAATGGTTGGTCTTCTCACAGGTCTATATTTGTCTTCCTTCTCAATTGGCATCATCTCCGTAGTTTTCTAAAAAAACAAACTTCAAGAGAAAGTTAATAACACACAACTAGAATAGGTCATTCAAGAAAAACTGTATCTGTTATCAGATTCTTTGTGTTAACCATATCCTCTAATGTACTTAATTGTGCCTTGAGACAATCCAGTTTTTCAAGGAACTCATTTCGTTCACATGTTAGAGAAAGATTTTCTGCCTTTAGTTTTCTATTCTGTGCTTTAAGCACATGGTAGGGAATCCAAGGTCCTGTGAGGGGGATACCATTATTATCTTTTCTCTGGGATCTCCACCTAGGGTGATTATTTTTATTTCCCTGAGTCCATCTATCACACATGGGCCTTTCATGATGAATATGCACATCTGATTTACAGAATTTTTCAATATGTCCCATCCTACCACACCTAAAACATGTAATGGATTTTATATGTGGGGACTTTCTCTGATTGATATATCTGTGAGGTTGGGGACTTTGTATCAATGACACTTGCCTTTTATTTACTTTTTCTTGATTTAGTAAAATTGCTTCAGCCCTTTTTAAGCAATTCCGTATATTTACAAAGGTGTCCTGTGGGGACACAGTTAAACCAATTAACTCTTGAATATCTGGCAGTGTCCTATTAAGTAATGCTTTCTTATATGCATATTCATTGTGATCAGCATGTGCTCCAGGTGGAACAGTCAGTTTGAATAAAACAAATAACCTATTTACAAACCCTTGAACAGACTCCCCTCTCTTCTGAGCACAATTACCAAAAGCAAAATGATGATTTATTTCCTCTAGACCAAGTGCGTTTAATAACTCTTTGATAAGTTGTTGCTTGGTTCTAGGTTCTATAAATATCTCATGTGGCAGACTTGCTCTTAGTGAATGGTCTGTACTAGCAATTATAACATCAAAAATATCCAATTCATTTAAGTTCCTGTGGATTTTTTTCAAATTGATCAATTTTTAACATAACATCTACTGGATCATCATCCAAGCGTATACATCCCAGTTCTTTGCTCAGTGCAATAACCTCTATACGTTTTAAGGAATGGGTCACAGTAGTTTTATGTAGTACATTTCCCTGTGCATCCACCATGCGCTCTGTAGAGATTGGTGCCATTTTAGCAGGAATACTGCGCTCACAAATACCATAAACATCTGCAAAAACACCACACTCTATGTTATGTACAACATTTGTATTGGGTTCTGCAGCATTGCATGCATTTCTATTTTGTAATTGGGATTTCAATAAATTCATTTGATACATGCAATCTGAATGATCAGCCTCTTTCTGGCTGCTGGATGCAAGGATCCTAATAGCACCCTCTGCATCCTTCAGCCTTTCTACAAGCTGCTCATTACAACTGTGCAATTCCTCATTTTCAAGACGCATTTGCTGACTACCTACACACAAAGCAGCAGCATTTTGCACAGACAGTTTAAAACCTTCCACTTCATTCTTTAAACTCAAAATGTCTGCCTCTAATTTCTCTTTTTGCCTATTTAAAGATTTATACTTCTCCGCAATCCAACGGGCAGCATAAATCAAAGCAATTTTACCACTAGATTTGGACAATTTCTTTTCAATAATTGCCCTGGCCACATAATCCTGAGCATTAAGCCACGGATCTAATGCACCATCCATACATTTAATTATTGCTTCTGGATTAGACACCTTAGCAATCTTTTTCAATAAACTCTCCATCATTGACAACGCACAATTCACTGAAATGTCTATACACAATATCTGAACAGTATCCAAAAGTAAATATACAATCTATACAATTATGAATATGCTCATAAATCACACTAAATCCCTCCTACCTGGCTCGCCAATTTGTAAGAAATTATGACCCTCTTACAAGGATATTCTTTTAGGGAATGTGTGACAAATAAGACATAAACACAAGTGTATAATAAAATGTATTGTAAATATTCATTTAAGGATACTGTTAGATTTTAAAAGGATATACACAATATACATTATACATTATATCCGGTACATAATCAAAAGCTACATAATAAAAAGGCAATACTTAAACATTTAAATGCAGGTCTTCCCCTTGCGCCTTCATCTTGGGTAATCTGGGACAGCCTCTCTTAGTTCACCATGGCCCTGCTTGCTGCGTTGTCCTCTCCAAAGAGAGAGAGAAAGAGAGAGAGCCTTCCTTGGTTGTTGTCCTTTTAAAGACTGATTCTTGGAGTAATAAACTACAAGTCCCAGAATCCCTTTTCCCTCCCAAAAGTGGTTTATCCCGCCCTCTTTCTCCAGAGAGTTCTGTCTTTACACAAGTCTTTCCCTTTGATCTCTTCCCTCCAGCTATACTGTAATGTTCTGAAAGACCAGTTGATTAAGTTTCTTGGTAGATTGGACTGCTTGGGAAAACACACACTTGCATGGTTACACCTAGATGTCTATTACTCTGATCTCCTGATAACATGCAAGGAATACTGGAGGGATGTAAGCTTTTGTTTTAGCTGGGTGTTGTAAAATGCAACTGAAAGCTTTGATCCTTATCACACTGTTATCAAGTAAATGACCCTCTTGTGAAACCAGTCACATACACAGAAAGTTATATACAATATTTCAGTTTGGAATATCAATTTCTTACAATCTGTTTGTGATTTGTAATAGGTCCAAAACATTGGTCTCCATGGTTCTGTTGATATCACTTGTTATTTTAATACCTAAATATTGTATTTTTTCTTCCACCCACAAAAAAATCATATTTATTTCTTATTTGTATTTAACTTATAGTTGGAGACCATACTATAATGCTCAATCTCTTCCATACGCGTTGTTATAGATTTGATAGGATTAGTTAGAGTAATTAAAATATTGTCTGCATACAGACTGATCTTTTGATCCTTATCAAAAAATGTATATCCACTTATTTCTGATTTTTTTTTTAAATATATTGGTTGCAAGGGGTTCAATAGATAGCAGCTATAATATTGGGGAGAGAGGGCATCCTTGACGAGTTCTATTTTTCAATGAGAACCATGGGGAACAAATATTTGGACCCGTTGTGCAGAATGATGGATTGACGTATAGAGCCATAATATCTTTCTTTATCCAGCAGTACATGCCAAAGTGCAGTAGCGTGGCATCCATTTAGTTCCAGTTGACCCAGCCGAACGCTTTCTCAGCATCTACCAATAGGGTCAACAATGGAACCTATTTTCTCTAGGCATCGTATAAAATATTTATTGTCCTACATATGTTGGTAGAAGATGTTCTTCCAGGGATGTATCCTATTTGGTCAGAATGTATGATTGCCAGTAGCACCTTCTTCAACCTAGACGCTAAGATGGAAGCAAAAAGTTTGACAGCAACATTTATAAGGGGTATGGGTCTATAATTTTGGACATCTGTATGGGCGTATTTTGTTTTAGAATGGGTAAGATGTTTGCCCTTGTCATTTCCTCTGGGAAGGATCCTAATTGGGCAGCGTGGTTAAAAACATTTGTTAAAGGCTTATTTGATCTTTGAAAGGCTTATAGAATAAGTTGCTGAAACCATCTAGGCCTGGCGTCTTAAGTTTTTCCAAATTATAACTTCTTTTGAGGTTATTTCTTTATTTAAAAAAGATCTATTACCTTTAAAGATGGCCGCACCAAGATCTTAAACTCCGATGGCGACCCGGCGGCGTTCCTGAGGGAGCTGGGGATCCAGGTTCCAGAGGGACTGGCAATCCCGATGACGTCGGCAGAGGTCCTGAGTACCCTTCCTCGTGACTGGTTTACAGCAGGCGAGTGAAGAGGTCGGCTCCTACACATGTCGTGGGTCGGATGCCCGCGGATCCGGGCGGTGAGGTTCTCCGGGTGGGCTTCTGTTGTTTGGGCGGGTGTAGCCGGGGGCCTTTTTCTCTTTTGCGGCCCTGGTTCATGTGGTCTTTAGTGGGGTTACCCCTGCTCGGTTGCCTGATCCTCGGGTGGGGACGACGTGTGTTTGGGGTGGGTTAGGGTTTTTCAGTTACCATTTCTGCCACTATTATCATTTGAGTCTCTTAGCCCTGACTCATCTCTACTGTTCATATATGCTTATGGGGGCCAAGGGTGGAACGGTGTGCCAGTGAGGGGCAGTTTGCATGCATATTGCTGTGTTTTTCGGGTTGTGGCGGGCGGTGGGCGGCGATTACCATGGCGGACTGTCGAAATTTGGTATGATGTATGATTCCTGATCTCCACCTCTCCTTAATCCTGATTTACGTGGGGTATGCACAGATCTGAGGGGGAGGGGGTATAACGGCAGTTTGCAGGCCATGCTCATTGAGGCTGACCATGGTCAGGAGTTCCTTACATTCCGCCCGGGGAGCGGGTTCTGTATGCTGTTTAACCCCTCAGGTTGCACAGGGTGGTGGAGGGTAGCTACTACTATTATTCAAGATTATTGACTTCAAGTTACCATCGCGTTTCTTGTAGAGGGGTACGAGCAGGGTGGGGAGCAAAACCGGGGGGGTGGGAGGTATCGGGCATGTTCATGGGTCTTGCTGATCGGGTTCAGGTGTTACATTTCTCCCATCCTTCCCCGCGCGGTCTTCTGTTGGGGCATCGGGGGCGGATGCTGATGTCCCCGTGGGTGTACCGCTATCGGGGGGGGGGGAGTTCCTGTATCGTGGGGTCCCTCTCCTTCTGCTTTCCTTTCCCTCTTACATGGCGATCCATATTGTTTGGGGCGGTGCGCGATGCAACTGAGGGTCTCCCCCTTCCGTCCGTGTATTGGCCTTTTGGGGATCCCCTGTGGAATGTGGTAAATCCACCTTTTGGGGGGGAGGTATCCCGGGCCCTGCGGGTGCGGAGGTGGGGACGGGGGATTGGATGACTGGGTGCATTACTTGGGGCTGATGCAGGGAAGGGGGGGGCTCCTGGTGTTCAGGATTGTACACAATGTAGTGGCCTGCTGAATTGCAATGCATACTGTATCTCACATGTGGTTTAAGTTGGCACCCTGGGGGTGCGGTTCTTTGT